GAATGTGTAAGGTATATGTGACCAATATTAAAATTTTGTCATAATTGTAATGCATTATGGTAATGATTTTTATGGACAAAAACTTATTTTATCTCTATAAATATTTTTTGGGGACAAAATATATTTTTTATGATGAATTTTTTTGTTCATCATTAAATAGGTATGCATTTGTGACTAATTTTTTAAATCTATCACAATTGTGATAAGTTATAGTGATAATTTCAAAATTCATCACAAATTTCTGTCACTAAAAATCATTTTTCTTGTAGTGATAGTTGATTTATTCTTTTTCTTCAATAAAATATAAGCATCATAATTAATTGAAAAAATATATGTACTTATTCAAATATGTAGTGCAATTATATTCTTAGAATAAGAATAAAAAAGAATAAAAATTTTAAATATTTTTTGAAAAATAGAAAGTGCACAACTAATTTTGAATACTCTTAATAGAACAACTAAACTTAAATAGAAAGGGGTACTACATTTTGACAAGTCTTTTTTTTTCTTTTTTTCATCAATAGAAGAGATTTATCAGTGAGGTTAAAGGGGTACCTTAAACTAGTTACATCCAATGGAGCATTTTCACAAAGGTTGTGCTAACATTTGATAATTATTTTGGGAAAATGATGTACAATTTTAACAAAGTCTGCATAACAAACAAAACCATTAACTCTCTGTTCAAAAATAATAACTATTTTTAAAATTTTTCTTTATATTTAAGATTTAGGGATAATTTATGTTTTTATCTATGTACCACCTTTAAAAAAGAGATAAAAACTAATTTTTTTGTTATAGGATGAACAAAATGTGTTGGCTCAATACACTCCAAGAAGGGGGCTGAATTGGAGTTTCAAATATTTCTTCCCCTTTTGCAATCACAAAGTAAAAATCAAAGAGAGTAAAGAAGAAGCTTACACAAAGATTTTATAAAGGTTCGGTCTAACCAATGGGTACTTAGTTTTGTACCATAGCTTCACTTCCTCTACACTCTTCACTAACAAGATTAAGGGTGGCTTAAAGAAGCCACTCAATTCCTTTACAAGAAAATGGGTTTTCTCACAAATGTCACCCCTTTACAAGACAAATCCAACAATCCTTACTACAAATCACTCTTGAAGGAATAATCACCCCTTTAAGATAACTCGCAAAGAAAACAAGCAGAGGATTACAAGTAAAGATCACTCAATGATCAAAATCTCAAGTTAAAGCACAAGGATCACAAATTAGTAGATAAGAGATATACAATGAAAAATGTCTAAATTTTGTTTCAAGACTTCTACAAATCATATTTATACCCTCTTGGTTGAAAATAGCTGCTTTTAGCCATTGGGGTTCATTTAATATTCTACAAATCAATTTAAGTCCAAGAAAACACACTATAGATTTTGTTAGTAGAGCTAGTTAGACCTTTAAAGCTAGCTATACCTTCAAAGCTAGCTATGAAAAGCCAGCTATTTTGCTTCATCTACACTTTCTATTTTTTTGTTGAGTCGGCTGTAAAACACAAAGTTGACTTAAGAATCCTTACTTCAAAAGATTAAAAAAATCTTTGAAAAATTTGATCGTTGAGCATTAAATGCACCATCATAACCAGCTACAAAGTCATAGCTAGGTTTGCATATGTTTTTCACATACAGCAAACTACAAGCTTGAACTTTTCACTCGTAGGGTAGACTATAGCTTTCATAGCTAGCTTTCTGCATTTTTCTTCACTAAAGTTGGCTGCAGAATTGTAGAGTCAGCTCTTTACACTTCATGTATTCTGCATTTCTCCAGAGCCAATTACAAAAAAATCATAGTTAGCTCCCTGCAGTTATTTCAGAATTTTGGTTCTTTTTTAGTGCAGTCCAAGTTCATTCACTCTTACTAGCTTTCAAGTCAAAAACTACAAACTTAAATAAACAAATAAGTAATTCAAGTGTATTTTGTAATTTTTAAAATCATAGGTACAACAAAATATCCAATAATAATAAAGTTAAAAAATAAATATTTATATCTCTTAAACTCAAAAACAGATCACAATTAATTTAGATGAAATTCTGAGTTTAAAAAACCTTTGGGATAAAGGGAGTTTCAAAGCAATCCAAATATCAGCTTCGTAATGCAATCATGTATCATCAAACTTCAGAAGATTTAGTGGGCTTTTTTGTCTCTTTCCAAGTTTCAAGTTCCAACATGGTGGGCTCAAAAGTGGTAAGTCCAAGGTCAAGCCTTTCTGAGCCCAACTACTAGAAATTCGAGCATATCCAATAGAGGGGCAAAATGGGTTACGCTAGCCCGCATAACACTGGCCCTGGGAAATTAAAGCACTGCCTATAAACTGCCAGCCAAGCCTGCACGATGCATGTTTACTACACAAAATTAAATCACTCCACTTTCAAAAGAAGATGTAATTACACCAAACTAGAAGTCCTTCTTTAGTCCACGTCTGCACTCCGGAATGACCTGCAAAGCCCCGAGGTGGAACTCGGGGTAGACACTCCGATGCTTAAGTCAGCAATAATCGGGACTACCCTTAGGGCGGAGATAAAAAGAGCTTAAGGTTGGTTTCAATTACCTTTTGACGTGGCCCGGGGGGGTATTTATAGGATCCAATAAGGAACCCACGTGGCATGCCAAGCAAGATATTCGAGATCTGATGTGTATCTCCAAACGGTTATTTCGGGACCGAGAATTTGAGAGGTATTCAGATGCAAGGATGTCCACCTTAAATGCTGTGTAGCTCATCATAAGGGATCAGGTGCGGGCATGCTCATTGTCATTGTCATGCAGCTATTTGAGCGTGAGGCTTTGGATTTGTCCTTCACTTCAGTCATAAGGGAATTACTGTATCAGTCCAAGGCTTGGCACCTCGGACCTATCCTTACACTATTCCCCCCCGAAGTCATTCACTTGTGAATGATGTTGTTGAGGATAATGAGGGGAGTGCATAAACAAAGAGAATACGGATAAGTCATGGAAGTAAAAGGAAGAAATAAAATTTGTAACTCAAATGTAGACATAGCTGTAACTAATAGTAAAATATGTAACAGTGGGTCATATTGGGAGTGTCTTAAATAGAATATGACCGGAGCGATCATGGCTGTGGCCATGGTAAAAATAATGACCAGAGTTAATGTGGCCGTAGCCATAGTAAAAGCTGATCATCGGAGTCATAATGTAACGAGAGCTGTGATAAAAAATGATGATCGGAGTTATAGAGGCCGAAGCCGTGATGGAAAATGATGACCGGAGTCGTAATGGCCTAAGTCGTAACAAAATATGATGACCGGAGTCATAATGGTCGGAGCCGAGGTAGAGGAAGTGACATCTAGTCACAGTAACTAGGACTGAAGTAAAACATGTGTCTCTATGGCCGGAGCCGAAGTAAAACACTATGCTCGTTAAAAAGTGTAATTGTAAAAGTAAACAGAAGTGCTGAGCTAGGCTTAAGTATAAAGACTGGAGTTAAAATGGCCGGAGCCATAATAAAATATAATGACCGGAGTCATAATGGCCGGAGCCGAGGTGAAACACTTGCAAAATTGAGAATATGCAAAAGTGAACGAAGGTGTTAAAATGGGCGTAATTGGGCCCGTCTGAAAAGTCTGACAGTTGTCCTTGGAATGACGTGTGCAATAAATGCAGCCGTAAAAAGATAACTGCAATAGTTAAACAGGCAAATTTTAGAAAACGAACCGTCGAATTCAAAACAGTGCCATTTGGGGTTGGCCGTTGAATGCCAAACGGTGTTAATAGTAACCGTAAGATTAAATGAATCTCAGCTGTTGAGATCTAATTTTGCCCAGAGGTATAAATAAGCATTTTTTCTGTAGAGAGGGGTTTACTTGCATTTCTTTTCCTGTAAAACTTCTGCGAAAAGCTTTACTATGCGTTTTCTGCGCGTGAACTGCAGCATCAGCTGGGGATCTCTACATCAAGTCTTTCAAAACCGAAATCAGGTAATGTATGACGAACCTCTGATTTTGAGTTAATCGAAGTGTCTCTCTCCTTTCTCCCTTTCTGTGATTGATTTAAAGTCCTTTGAAGGAAGTTAGGGTTAGAGGTGAGGAGGATTTTGAATGTGCAACAAAAAGGGGTTTTTTTTTTTAAGAGGATTCTGACTTATTCCTCCCCCTTACTTCGTGCAGAGTTTGAGAAAATGTCCTCAGAAGGAACACAAAGTATAGTAGGGAGTGAGGTGATGCCCCTGGACTATGGGAGCATGGACTCAGAGAGTAGTCCATCTCCATCTAGTTCGGAAAAAACGGTGGAGGGGGTGAGAGGAGATGAGGTGGTGGAGGTTGGGGGGAATGAGGTGTTAGGGGTTGGGGTAGATAGCATACCCATCACCGTAGTAAAAGTAGAGGGTAGAAGAGAGAGAGATTATGATATGAATGCAGAGATAGTGGAAGAGGTGAAGCAGTATAGTTCTGAACTAAGGACCAGGGATAGCCTGGGTCACTTAGTGGAAAATTACGAGATCTCTTCTTGAGTACTAGTTAGGCCAGCTGGGGTAGAGGAGAGAGCGTGTTCTGCTCCTCAAGACCATTGGATGCCCATATATTCCAACTATCTGATAGCGGGATTAAGGTTTCCAATTCTTGAGTTACTAGTAGGTTTGTTGTTAGATTATAATATAGGGTTGATACAATTAGTCCCCAACGCTATGAGGGTAATAATAGGATTTTTAGTCTATTACCGAGCTCAGGGGATTACTGTGCCAACGGTAAATATGTTTAAGTATTTTTTTGTTTTAAAGGGGGGTAGTATGAGGGATAAGGGGTGGTATTATTTCACCCCTAGGGTAGCTAGTAAGGAGAGTATGTCGTTGTTCACTGTAGGTCCTTCATCCATTAAAGGATGGAAAGAAAAATTCTTTTTTGTAGATGATACAGAGTGGGGGAGGGGGGATGCCGAGGTGAGGGAGTTAGCCTCCTAGAAGGCTAAAAGGGCCAACCAGAATAGGTTTAGTTTGAATGAGGATGATGAGGAAGAAGTGAGGAAGTTGGTGAGGAAGGGGGGGATTTATTGAACATTTTGGACCTCACCAGCGCACAATGCATAGAAGCTGCTGAGCTCTATGGGCCAAGCGCTTTAAGTGAAGGTTGGTTTAGTTCTGTATTGTTGTACTGAATGTAGAGTATAGAACTGTGATTAATATTGTGTTCTTGCTTTGCAGCTGAAATGGATCAATTTTTGAACACTACTGGAGGAGTGGCTATCCTCAAGAAGCCAAGGAAGAAGTCAAAGACTTCAACCAAACAAGTGGATGAGGGGAGGGCTAGGAAAGAGGTAGTGCCTACCGTTTCAACTGAGACGGAGGAGGAGGTACCACAGTTGAAGAGGAAGGGTTGGGAGGAGAGGTGGGCACTACAGAAGAAGAAGAAGGTGGTGGAGGAGGAGGAGAGGGCGGATGAGGTACCTCAGTTTGTACCTCAGCCTCCTCCTGTTGAGCTGAACCCTGAGCTCAGACAGTTGGAGGAAGGGGCTGAGGTACGAGCTCCTGGTAAGGGAAAGGGCCCTGTTCCCCCGTTGGGGCCTTAGAGCAGCCTGTTTGAGGCGAAGAACATGACGGGGGCTAGGTGGTTCATCAACAGCACCTTCCCCGAAGTGGACAGACACAACACGCGGGATGAAGCTCTGAGGTATGGTGGAGCGTCTGTTGTGAAGCACGTTCTAGAGGTATGTTAAATTATTGATGTTGTTTAGTTAATCTGTTTCTTCTTCTCTCCTTTCTCTCTTAACTTCTACTTTGATTTGCAGAGCGCGAGCTGGGTGAATGGTCTAGCCCAGGAGTTCATGGAGAGCCTGAGGGAGCGCTCACTCTTGCAGAGGCAGTGTGACCAGTTGCAGAAGGAGAAGGAGGAGCTGGAAAAGAAAAATAAAGAACTGCAAGAGTCGCTGAACGAGGTGGTTACAACTGTGAAACAGTTGGAGCAGGAGAGGGCTTCCCTGAGCACCAAGCTCGTCTTTGAGGAGAGCAAACGTAGGATCTCTGAAAGCGAGCTTGAGGCTCAGGCGCAAGAAATAAGGCTGATGAAGGAGGCTTTCGTGGAGCTCAAGGAGAATGTGTAGACCTTGGTGCACAATGGAATGAAGGAGCACATTAGCAACTTCATTAGCTTTAGCTCGTTTGACAACATCGTCAACTTGTACCGGCTGCCCACTGCCATCATTGCATTCACGGACTGCAGGAAGAAGGTGAAGGCAGAATATCCCGAAGTGGATATTACGAAGATCACCTTCGGAGAGCAAGAAGAAGGAGTGGAAGAAGACGGTGAGAGCATGTCAGCAAACTTCCGTCCTCAGATCAAACTGAGGTGGGAGCATGATGCAAACGGACGTGCTGTTTTCCCTCCACAGTTCGACTTCGAGTTCGTTGCAGTGGAGGAAGAAAGGGCAGAGGTAGAGGAAGATGAAGTGGAGGCAGGAGTGGAGGGAGCTGAAGTGGATGAGAGCCAACCAATCCCAGAAGTGGAGATTCATCCAGTTCCTTCCGACGATGAGCAGCCTCCTTTGCCAGACGAGCAGCAGCCATCACAGCCACCTCCTCCATCTGAGCAGGAGCCAGTGGAGCCACCTCTTCCAGCGGAGAAATAATTTTGTTTTTTAATTTTTTGTAGAATCATTAAATAATTTGTAACACTATTATTTCGTTAAATGAAAATTCAGTTTTGAAATTGTACATTTGCTTATGTTTGCTTTATATTTTTGTTATCTTTTACGAATAAAAGAACTGAGAGTACTTGAGACTTGATTTGAAAGAAAGCTAACTACTTCAGAAATGAATAGAAGGGAAGTAATCCACTTCAGATGAATTAAGAAGGAGTAAATCACTTCACATAAATTAAGAACAAGTACATCGTTGCAAATGAATTAAAAAGAAATAAAGCACTTCATATGTGAAGTGACATTTATTAATCAGAAGTGAGGTTCAAGGAATGAATGAACTGATTGACCTCGGATTCATAGAATAAGAGGTAAAATCAATCTCAACAAACACGAAGTGAGAAGCATAAAGAACAGTAAGACATAGATCACTTGAAAGAATTTCATTAGGGGTAAAATTTCTTCAAGTTATTGACATTCCAGACTCTAGGAACTCTTTTTTAGCGTCTTGGAGGACATAGGCACCAGGATGTGGCACCTTGGCCACGGTATAAGGGCCTTCCCAATTCGAGGCGAGTTTGCCAAAACGAGTTTCAAACCCTGTTAGGCCAGCTTTTCTGAGAACAAGGTCTCCTACTTTGATTGTTCAAGGGCGAACTCATTTATTGTAGAAGTTGGCTAGTTTATGCTTGTATACAAGAGTTCGAAGCCGAGCTTCTTCTCTGACTTCAGCAAGCAGATCAAGGTTTTCCCGAAGCAGTTGTCCATTTCTTCCTTCATCGAAATGGGTGACCCAGAAGTTTAGGACTCCTATTTCAATAGGAATGACTGCTTCGGTACCGAAGGCGAGATGATAGGGTGTTTCACCTATTTCAATTAATTATAACTTTAGAATGCACTTTATGCATTATGCACATTTGCTCTAAGGTAAAGCGTAATAAAAGAAGTAAACTAATATAGAAATTAATCAAATAGACTCAGTTTAAAGTAATACCTGTGGCAGTTCGGCTCGTGGTTCTATATGCCCAAAGGACGTTGTTGAGCTCATCTGCCCATTTGGTTTTATGCTGTTCCAATCTCGGCTTTATACCTTCTAAAATGCATTTGTTAACAGATTCAACCATGCCATTGGACTTTGGATGGTAAACGGAGGTGAACTGTAACTTGATCCCATAACTGGAACAGAAATCTCGGAATGAGGAGCAATTGAATTGAGTTCCATTATCAGCCACAATTTGATTCGGGATCCCATATCTGCAGATGATCGAGCTAAAAACAAAGTCTTCGACCTTCTTGGAGGTAAGACTAGATAATGGCCGAGCTTTAACCCACTTTGTGAAATAATCCACACCAACAACCAGATGGGTTACACCACCAACCCCTTTCACGAATGGGCCTAAAAGATCCAGCCCCCACTGAGCAAATGGCTATGGTGCTACCAAGTTCGTGAGCTCCTCTGCTGGTTGATGAGTCAGATGTGCAAAGAATTGACATTTCGGGCATTTCTGAACAAAGTAAGTGGCATCTTTATGCATGTTTGGCCAGTAATATCCTTGCCTTAAGACTTTGTGAGCTATAGTCCTAGCACCAACATGGCTCCCACAGACACCTTCATGCACCTCTCGAAGTGCATATTCAGCTTCATAGGGGTTTAAACACCGTAGAAGAGGAAGTGAGAAAGATCTCTTATATAAGACCCCGTCAACGAGTGTATACCAAGATGCTTTCTTCCTCAACTTCATTGCCTCCTGCCTGTCCTCAGGTACTATCCCATCTCGCAAAAAGGAGATGATTGAATCAGTCCAGCTCGGCGTGTCAGGGTTTGTGCTAATCTCCATCACCCGAGGCTTCATGAAGCTTGGTTCATCTAAGACCTTTACAAAAACGGATCTGGAACTTAAAGAGCTATCAGAGGCAAACTTGGAGAGTGAATCTGCCTGTTCATTCTCAGCTCGGGGGATTTTGCTCAGACAGAATTTCTGGAATTTGCATTTCAGCTCGGCCACCAAGGTTGTATATTTTACCATCACAGGATCAACGACTTCGTAGATTGAGTTGATTTGGTTTACTACCAATTGGGAGTCACTATATACTTGAATTGCACTAACTTTTAACTCCAATGCTAGCTGTAGGCCAAGTAGCAGAGCTTCATATTCAGCCATGTTATTTGTTGCATCAAAGTTGAATTTCAAAGCATGTTCGCTTCGATAACCCTCTAGACCAATCAAGAGAGCGCCCACTCTTAAACCTTTGCTGCTAGATGCCCCGTCAACATATAAGGTCTAGTCGTTGGGCTCTGGATTAGAGGTTGAAGGACATGGGGTGCATTCGACAATGAAATCTGCTAGTGCTTGAGCTCGGATTGCCGATCTCTGCTGAAACGTTATCTCGAACTCCCCCAGTTCTACTGCCCACTTAATTAATCTTCCAGAGTACTCTGGTTTCTGCAGAATCTACTGGAGAGGTTGATCTGTGAGAACGATAATTGGGTGTGATTGGAAATATGGCCTCAACTTCCTAGCCGAAGTGACAACTGTTAATGCTACTTTCTCAGCTATAGGATACCTCAGCTCTGCCCCGTGCAGTACACTGCTGATATAATAGATTGGTTTCTGCTGCTTGGTTTCTTCTCTTACTAGAACCGAACTAATGGCTTCATCTGAAATTCCGAGATACAAATAAAGAATCTCTCCATTTATAGCCTTAGTCAGTAGAGGTGGCGAGCTAAGATAAGACTTTACCTCATCGAATGTAG